GTCTGCTGGCTGGGTGCTGGCAGGCTTGCACCTGGCATGGGCACCGTAGCCAATCCGTGCCCCTTTAAGGGGTCCGGGGCCGGGAGGGGGGCAGAAGAGTTTCCCTGGTGTTGGCCAGAGTGGCCACCAGGGAAACCGGGGAGGGCTAGCCTCCCACTAGTTCGAATTAAGGGGCTACACACCCCTTAATTCGAACTAGCTAGTTGGAACTAGGCTTAATCCTCGTGGAATGAGGATTACCTAGTTCGAACTAAGCGCTCCGTTAGTTCGAATTAAATTCGAACTAACGGAGCGCTAGTGTAGCGCCTATGAAAGTTAGTTCGAACTAACGTCTGTTAGTTCGAACTAACTTTGTAGTGTAGACATACCCTGAGTTGCCTTCGATCCAAGACACACAAAGGGCTTCTTACAGTGGAGTTAATTTCTGTCTCTTAGGAATCTGTCTGGAGTTGGGGGATATTCTTATTCATGGGCTATCCATCCAGCTAGCAGGTTGATCACCTTATGCTCACTCAGCATATGTAATGCATTTACACTGCCACCCGTCAGCCACCACCACTATACCTGTAAATAGATTTTAAAGACATTTCTTTCAGTATCACCATCAAACAAGAATATTTTGCTTAACAGCTTTGCACCAGTTCCACAGTGGCTTATATACTGAGTCATGCTTTGTTTTGGCAGAAGGTAAAGGATTTTTTTTGTTAACTTTTAAAATGTTATCTCTTCTCTTTGGACCATTGCTGTAACATTATACCCTCTAGAGGTGACAAATGAGTTACCGGTATGTCAGTATTGATGCAAATTAAGTTTGTGAACTAAGTCGGTGATTGAAACTCGTGGCCCTAAGGTTGGATCTTTCATAGCCTATTGCCGTTTTATGGGGCTCAACCTGGAGTACTGAGTACTCTTTTATGGGTGAAATCTGTGGGACTCAAAAGCACCTCTCTAGATTGAGTGTTCCGTTTGTGCGCGGACAGAATGTGCATGAAGAAAAAATGAATTAATCTAGGGAAGGAAAATAATGGCAATGTCAGTATGGACTAGAAAATAATTTGAATAAGACAAATACAATATTTTCAGATAGCAAAATGCTTTATTTTGTTGGTAAAGCCCTAATCCCGCAAACACTTTGATGGGACTACACGCAATAGTAAATCTGAGCACGCAGCTAAGTGCAGAATTGGGCTTCTGGTGTTTATATACATTCAAGTGGACAATTTTTCTTATTGATCTCACTTTATTTTATAAATAATCCCAACATGCATAATATCATAATATAATCTACATGCTAGCAAGATTTTTTTATTTTATGGTAATACATGTTTTAAACATTTCATAATTAACTACATGGAAAATGAGACAGCGTTATTTTTGTGCATTTTATAAAATTGGAACAATGTTAATAGGGTGGTAAGGCTATGTTCTGCTTACTAAAATGTATTTCTGTGGGGTGGGGATTAAATTTCCTAGGCTGGTATGAGGATCAAGTATTCCACGTGAATGCTTTTGGATTTCCACCCACTGAGCCCAGTGCTACCACTAGGTATAAAATGATTTTTAATGATTTCATTCTGACTTCTCATATTTTGTGCTATCTGTCAAGGTACTATTATTGTTTGTTGTTTGTAGATCATCAAGAGTGTACTTTTCTTTTTTTCTTACAAATGTTGCAGCGATGTTTATAACTTGCTGGTCCATTTTGAGCCTGATCCAAACCCCATTGTGTCAGCAGAAAGAGGCCCAGTGGTTAATGGGCTTTGGATTGGGCCTTTGGTGCGTTGATATTGATGATACAAGCCCTTGTTAGATAGAGATTGTGAATGAGGAAATGGGGTACCAGGCTTGCTCTGAGGATGAATGTGAAAGACAACCCAGGACCAAGACCACCAGTGAGAGAGTGTTAAAGTTTAGCAAGCCAAAGTCTGTGCTTAATATCTGGATGACTTTCTTTTCTGTCTGTTCACTCTGCTTGTATGTTATACCCCTTTCCCACCCTGTGTCTGCCTGGTATATTTAGATTCTAAACTCTTCTTGGAAGGGACAATCTACTGCTCTCGCTGAACAGTTTACAGTGGGGTCCCATTCTTGAGTGGCCCTTAAGTACTATAGCAGTAACCATGTCAAATAAAAAAAATCTGTAGCATTACAAAATGCTGTTTTTAATTATGTAGGGCATATTATGGGAACATAAACTTTTTTGGAGGGCCTTCTTCAACTTCAGTAAAAGCTTCTGCAAAACTGAAACAACTGGAGAGTGAAAATGAAGATGCCATGTTTGTTTTTGTTTCTGATGTGTGGCTGGACCAAGCGGAAGTGTTAGAAAAGCTTCACACTATGTTTTCAGGTAGGTGCAGTGTTTGCCTTTTTATCTGAATCTTATGTTGAAGAATGTTTAAGTAGTTTTGTTTGGCTTTATTACCTTAAATAGGCTCTTTTGCCCCCCCCAAAAAAATTGATGTACTTTTCTTCAAGCTGTGATAATCTAATCTGTTACTCTTAAGTGGGTGATGAAAGAGTAAGTGGAACCCTGACTTACTCTTTCATCACCCACTTAAGAGTATGTGGAACCCTGCGAAACCTATGCACAATTCTGATGAAAAGTCAGTATTTAAGTAGTTCCAGCTCTGATTCATGGCTCATATTATTTTTCTAATTTGGACCCCTGTTAAACAGTTTTAAAAACTGATTTGCATTGTGTTTTTGCAAAAAGCTGTGAGCACAGATACCTCTCTATTTCATTTAGTAATAATATTATTTTGAATTGTAGCCCTGTTATGTGATGTGACAAGAATGCTTGCCTTGTTTTCTTCCTTGGCTATTGTTCTAAGAAACCTTTTACTTTGTTGGAATCTGATACTTCCTCTTAAACCCTTGTTGGTTTTAGCAAAAAGAACATACTATGATTTATTCTTAAAATATGCAGTTTTCCCCACACATATTGTTACATTAGTAATGTTGACAGCTCTTTTACAGCAAATGTCTGAGTGATCCATGAGTTGTCTCTTGGTGTTCCAAAACACTTTTGGAACAACATGTGATTCTCTGCTTTGGATAGAATGCAAATGATTGGAAGTGGAAAAAGAAACAAATTCATAGGTGGGAAATCGCTGTTAATTTATGAATATTGGAGACAAATGATCAGACTCTCTCCTGGTATCAGATATTATGGAAATCAATTAATTATTTTGACAAATGTTGACAAGAAGTGATTTAAACTGATCTACAATTGCATATGATAAAGTAATAAAGAGACCTTGATCAGTTAAGTATCCTCTTTACAGTGCATATAATTTAGGTCAAATAAGAGTTTTATTTATAGATAAGAATATTTATGGAACGTGTTTTAAAAACTTAAAATAATATTTGGGAGTAGCATCAGAATAGAGACATTGGTTAGAATTTTAACTTTCCTTAACATAAAACCTTTGGTTAGAATTAGATGCTTCATTTTTTGATTTTTTTTTTTAAAGCCAGTGGAACAGACTTGAGCCTGGAACAGAATCATTTTAAAAAATGGGATATAAATCATATATATGTAAGAGAGCTTTGGTACTTGTTCAGCTTAAAAGCTGGTTCCTCACGTGTAGTGGCTTCTGCCTGCCTCACCTCTGTGCTGTTGCCTCTCTGGGAGGCAGCAGCATGGGGTGGGCAGGTGGCTCAGCAGGAGCCAATACACGTGGGGAGCCAGCTTGAAAGTTGGCTTTCTGGGGCTGCTCGCTGACTGACTCAGTGTTCTTGGGTGGGGGGCGGGGGGGGGGGGGGGGGGGGGGGAGGTGCATGTAGTCATTATGATTTACTGATTATGCCAGGCTTATCAATTAATCTTGTAAACGACTACACACTAACATCCCTAGTGCATTTTAACAGTGATATAGCTGAAATCACTGCCCCAGCTTTTGACCCCTAATGAAACAGACCAGAGGGGGAACTGTTCATCAGTGAAGAATACTTAAAGTACCATATAATATGGAGTGTAATGTTCGTGTATCTTTCCCAGGTTACTCCTCTGTGCCTCCAACTTGCTTTTTCTTTTGTGGAAATTTTTCATCTGCACCATATGGAAAAAATCAAATTCAATCCCTAAAAGGTATGAAAGTCTTTGTAATCAGATATTTATTGTACAATAAATTGGACAACAGATATTGATAAAATGCATGCTTTTTCATTTTTATTAATTTGTATAATGTTTTAGGAGACTCATTTTTAGACCTATTATTTGACCTAAAACATATGACTAGTTCATGAATTACAAAATGTTAGTGTCCTGACAGATAGTGTCATAAGAAATCTTTAAATGCGTTTTTTTCTGACTTCAGGTTCCCTTAAGGCTCTTGCAGACATAATATGTGAATACCCCAGCATTCATAAAAGGTATGTATCAAAATGCTACATTAATTAATATGGGCCATGTATGGTTGTGTAGCTGTTGTGTAGCTAGTACCATGCCAGAGTGTTAAAACAAGGCCATATTATTATTTTGGGAGGTGTGTAAGGTCTGGATTCAGCCTGTGATAGCTGTGTAACGTGAGCTGTTGTTTGCTGAACAAATGTTAGACCAGTTCTCCGTCTCTGGAACTGTTTCAGTGTTTACTAGTTATAGCCCCTGATCTTGCCAGAGTGCTCTTCAGGTGAACTTCTGTGTGTGCCTGGTGCCCACTAGGGGAGATGTGTGTGGTGGAGGAGAGGTGGGGGTCTACCCATGCAACACTTGCTGCAAAATCAGGGCCTACGTTGGATTTTATACATTAAAATGTAAGGTCTTTTGCTGCTGGATGCAACTGCAGGCCTTCAAACATGCAAGTCCCGGAAAGCTTCATCTGAAATATTGGCTTGATACATTCTTACTTCCTTTCCACTTCTTCCCCCAATCAGCTTTCCACAGCCATTATTTTAAGCAAACTAGTAGAAGGGAAGTTTCTGTAAATGATCTTTGTTAGGGATGTTAGTGTGTAACTGATTAATCATTTAATCGATAAGATGATGCTTATCAGTTAATGGTATTGGTTACACTCAGCTGGCTCCTGGGGAGGCTTCCCCACTGTGAACAGGGCAGTAAAGCCTATTCCCCGAGAGCTAGGTGCTCAAGGGCATCCCACTCTGCTCCTGTGAAGGTGACTTCGCTGCCGCAACATAGCCTCCTCCCCGGGAGCAGAGCCAGCTGGGCAAGAGCTGGCTCATGGGGAGGTTTCACTACTGCAGCAAAGCCTCCTCCTCCTCTCCCACTTTTTTTCCCAAGTCCTAATTATAAGACCAAAGCTTCCTCACCAGGTGCCGGGCTGGTGGCCCTGCTGCTGGGGAGGCTTCGCTTTGGGCTTTTCAGTGTAAAGCCAAGTGTGCAACTGCGGTTACAGTACATGGAAGCACTAAGATTTTTAGAGGTTACAGGTTTCCCTATTACGCTGTTTTTAACATCCCTATTTTCTGTACTCAGTTATTTCTCTGGTTTTTCAGAGGATTCTTCCATGGCAGTGGGGCTGACCCTCCTATAAAACTCTTTACAACTCTCCTTTGCTGTGATGCCTATAAAAAATGTGATAGCGGTTAGGCCACCGCTTTGCTGACACTACTCTTTGTTTTATGTGCCCTTATGCTCACTTGTCTTAGACTTGTGTGAGTGTGTACACACACATCATCTAGCACAGTGGGGCCCTGTCTACACAGCAGGCAGTTATTTCGAAATAGTGTCAAAATACTGTCAAGCTGGAGGACTTCTTACTCTGACTCCTGTAATCCTCGTGATACGAGGAATAAGGGGTCAGAGGAAGAGTGCTCTATTTTGAAATAAGTGTTGTGTAAACACTCCCTATTTCGAAATATGGTATGCAATTGATGTAGCTTAGCTTTTGAGTTAAACTCTGCAGTGTAGATGTACCCTATGTGGATTTCAGAGTATGGAGGAAAAGGCAGGAATAGCCAGGAACATCCTCTCCATCTTCTGATGCTCTGAATTTATAATAAAAGCTCTCAAGTAACTGGAGCTGGTCACCAGAATGGGTACCCATAGAGTAACATTATTGAGCATCTTTGTAGTTTGATTCATGTGTATCTTAAATTTAGGTAATTGTAATTAGGATTTTATTAAACATATGTTGTACCTTATGTTGTTTATAGCAGTCGATTTGTGTTTGTTCCTGGCCCTGAAGATCCTGGTCCTGGTTCAATTTTGCCAAGGCAAGTTTGCTACATAGTTTTTCTAATTAAGAACTTTCTAGTGTTATGTTGGTAAAGAGTATACAAATCTTCTGCAACATGTTATTCTTTGTTTTAGGCCACCACTAGCGGAAAACATCACTAGTGAATTCAGAGAGCTGGTGCCATATTCAGTTTTCACTACAAATCCTTGCAGGTAAATGGGAAACTTTTATATTAACCAGAAAATATGAAACACTTATTGCTGATTTTTCATATTGCTTTAGGAAGTGGTCAGTTTGTGTGTGGGAGTAACATTCTGAAAATGTGTGATAGCTACAACAAATGTATTAGAGGGAAATTAAAGCTTTGAAAATTGACAGTAAAAAGTTTTCAGACTGTAGTTTTAATTGCAATGTATCTTTTAATTTTTGTAGGTATAAACAATAAGAAGAGATTAACATTGAAATATTTTTCCAGGCTTTCATAACATTATCTCATTCCAATGCCAGAAAAATTAAAATTTCTTTATTTTCTATTCAGGGTCCAGTACTGCACACAAGAAATCATCATTTTTCGTGAAGATTTAGTAAATAAAATGTGCAGAAATTGTGTCCGCTTTCCTAGCAGCAACTTGGATATTCCTAACCATGTAAGTTAAGAGTATGCTCAACCTTTCTTGTTAAGATCTCCTTGATTTACTGCATTTAATGCAAGATTTGTATACCTTTTAGTTGTTTATCACAATCTCCGTATAACAGATCCTCATAATTGAATGGTTGGTGGCTGAGGACAGTATTCATAAAAAAAGTTTGCATATTTAATGTTACCACTACTTTAGTTGTTTTACTACAGAATTTACTTCTGAATATCTAACAAATTGACAGCATTCAGAGGTTTTTGAGTCCTTGTCTTTCTGTATCCCACTGTTGGGGCACATGCGCCTATCTGCACATGTTTGGAACTTTCTAGCAGCCAGTATCTTTAGTGCCACTATTGTGCCAAGAAATTTTTACTACTTAATGAAAGGTTTAGCTCATTTTGTGCCTTGATATTGCAGGGGGTCACAGTGGTGGCTGAGTTTATATAGCTCTGTTTTTTTGTTGTTGGGTACCCAAGACTTGCCAACTTGGTGTCTGTTTGTCTCAGACTTCCTTCGCTCACCACATGACACAACAGTGTGGCCTTTTTGTGTCAAGTGCACGTCAGTCAAGAAAACACATTTATAAATCTTCATTTTGTCTGTGCACAAATGCCACACAGAGCTTTACTTCCTATATTCATGACCAAAAACATCTTTCTCTGTCCTGGGAACTGCATTGTGGTATACTTATGGGCTACGTCTACACTGGCATGATTTTGCGCAAATACTTTTAACGGAAAAACTCTTCCGTTAAAAGTATTTGTACAAGAGAGCGTCTACACTGGCATGGATGTGCTTTTGTGCAAAAGCATCTGTGCCAGTGTAGACACTCTCTTGCGCAAGAAAGCTCTGATGGCCATTTTAGCCATCAGGCTTTCTTGCGCAAGAAATTAACATTGCTTGTCTACACTGGCTTATCCCTGAGCGGGAGCTTCATAGTATTTGCACAAGAAGCACTGATTTTGTACATTAGAACGTTAGTGTTTTTGCTCAAATATTCACAGCCATTGTCAACAGGTGGCAAGATTTCTTGCCAATGTAGACACAGCCACGGTGTCCTTCACCTATTCAGTCTGCATCATTAAAGCAATTTAATGAGAGGGGGGAAAAAACCTTGCCGTGGTATTGACTTTATGGCATATTCAGATCTTAATATTAGTGGAACCCTAGAGTCACGTGTATGTAATGCTTCCATTAAAAGTGCTTGGTGGGCCTTCAAACACAGTATAATTCATGGAATAAGTCTGATTTGACTTGGGGATGTAAATACTGTTTTAAAAGTTGCCATTTAAATAATTAAAATGTATTTCATTTAAGCAGTTATTTGATTAAAGAGCCAGCCCGCTGATGTGGCTGGGGCTGCTCTGGCCTGCCTGGAGTCATTGGGGTCAACGGTTAAGGGGGGTTGACCAGTAACCTTAACCTTTTTATATATATGAAGTTAGGGATTTGATTATATATAAAGTTATTCCATTGAGCTTATTGCTTGAGGCTGTGTCTAGACTGGCAAGTTTTTCCAGAAAATCAGCCGCTTTGCCAGCTGTCTACACTGGCCGCTTGAATTTCCGGAAAAGCACTGACGATCTACTGTAAAATTATCAGTGCTTTTCCGGAAAAACTATGCTGGTCCCGTTCGGGCAAAAGTCTTTTTCCGAAAGACTTTTGTGCAAAAGGGCCAGTGTAGACAGCACAGTACTGTTTTCCGCAAAAAAGCCCCGATTGCGAAAATGGTGATCGGGGCTTTTTTGCGGAAAAGCGTGTCTAGATTGGCCACGGACGCTTTTCCTCAACAAGTGCTTTTTCCGGAAAAGCGTCCTGCCAATCTAGACACGCTTTTCTGGAAAAGCATCCTGCCAATCTAGACGCGCTTTTCCGAAAATGCTTTTAACTGAAAACTTTTCCGTTAAAAGCATTTCTGGAAAATCATGCCAGAGTAGACGTAGCCTGAGAGTGCAATTGAGACCGCACAGTTGGTAGTTGTGGTGCAGACAGGATTGGGACTTCTAGTGAGATATAAGCAGTAGATGCTCTTTTCACAAATGCATGAGCTTTACTGCACATCACTGATTGATAAACAAGGGAGGAGAAGTACATAAAAGCTATAAGCATCTCTAAGTCGCTTTTAAGATGGGACAATTGGTAACTAAGTATGGCAAACGTGACTTTTGGCTGATTGAACATTTAATTTGGATTATTTTCTTTTACTTTTGTCTTACAGTTTGTAAAGACTATATTATCACAAGGACATCTGACTCCACTTCCACTTTATGTTAGCCCTGTATTTTGGGCATATGATTATGCCTTGAGAGTGTACCCTGTGCCAGATCTGATCGTCATTGCAGATAAATATGATCCCTTCACTGTGACTAATAGTGACTGCCTCTGCATAAATCCTGTAAGATTTACTTTATGCTTTATCAAAGTAAGGAGACATAACCAACAAGCAGAGAATTACACGATATCTTAACATAATTTCATTGAATAAATTCAATTGTATTTTTAGTAGGCCAAATATAGGAGGAAAAGTATTATATGGTTATCAAACAAAAAGAAAGCAGTTACACTTTGTTGCACAGTAACATTGCAAACTCTACTGACACAAATTTGGTGTATTTTTTATTATAGGGTTCTTTTCCCAGAAGTGGATTTTCATTCAAGGTGTTCTATCCCTCCAACAAAACAGTAGAAGACAGGTAAATAGCGTCAGGATCTGATATTAACAAATGATTAATATAACCATTTCTTGCTTGGTTTCTTCTCAGAATGAATGGGAATATTTAATGATATAGATAAGGATGTATTTTTAATAAGAACATATTCTCTGGTTAGCCCACCCTATCATACTGGGAGACAGTGAAGCAAAAGGTCAGCTTTTGCCTTCGGATACAAACATGCAGCTCCCTCTGAAACGAATGAGTGATGTACACAAACCTCAGGGCAGGAAATAGCCATTTTCATATACTTATTTGTTAAATGAAGCAATAGCTGAATGCAAAGTCTGAATGCAAATGTCCATACTTTTGAATATCCATGTAACCATGTATTCCTAATCATGTTTATTGGATTTAATTAGCTCCAGTTACTACTACAAGTGCAATTTTCTCTGACATGCTTGGGATCATGATTTAGTTAACAAGTAGCTGTAGGTTAATTTAATAGTTTAGACAGTGTTGGGGGTGCAAGAAGACCCATCAAAATTTACTAGAAACAGAAAGCTCATATACAAGGTTAACTGTTGCACTGAGATCTGCTTCAATTTGAATTTACTACAGTGGGGGCTTATGAGAAATGTGAAAAAGATTGTATAAATGACTGGTATAAATCCATAAAAACAAGGGGAACTATCAACAGAAATGTTCATGCAACTTTGACCAGAAGGTAGAAAATACCCCTCTAATTTGGTAAACAGATTTGGTAAATCTGTTCAAGTGCTTGATTTCACTGAACCTTTCAAAGAGCACAATGGTAAATGAATTGGTTTCAAGAAACAAGGATGCATGTTATAAACATTAAATACTGTTTTTAATATTTTCAGCAAACTTCAAGGTCTCTGAATTTCTGAAAGACTGCAGGAGGAGGTCAGACATTCTATTCCAATATATTGCTGAACTAACTTTAGATTGTTTCATATGGCTGTCAATTTATTTCATTGTTAATTATTCATTTTAAATGTCAGTGCAAAAGACCGGTAAACTTTGTAAATAAATTTTTTACAGGAAAAAATGCTTCTTAGAAGAATGCAGGATTCATATTATACTGTGCCCATAAAAGGTCATGATACCATCCACATTTTTATTAGTCTTTAAGGTGCTGCAGGCCCATTCGTTATTTGAGTTAACCTGCACAATTGAAAACTAGAAGTGGAGATGCAATGAAAACAGATACTGAGGATATATTTAACATTAAGTAGTACGTATTCAAAATTGTATGTCTCTTCTAAGAATATTTTTTTATCTTGTGCTGGTTGCTCTTTGAAGTCAGGATCTACTTGTGACACACATACAGAGTACCTTTCTTGAGCCATTTTGTTTCCTTTAGGGTAAAATATGATTCTACATTTGATTTGACACTTTAAAAATAAGTATATGCCTTAAGTATTTGCACAGCCTCCTTTGAAACCAGCATGTAATAGTCTGCACCTTGTGAGAGTCTAAAACCTAGTTTGGCTCAGACTACATTAGTGTTTGATGAAAACAAGTGAAATACTAGTGAGGGGGAAAAGTACTGGCAATCAAAGGTTTCCTTTGGCAGACAAAGATTTGAGCCTGGCTGCTAAAGAGTATGATGTAAAAAGTTTTCTCACTGAAGTTTTGTATGCCATAGGGTCTGTACACAATTAGAAATGTGTTAGAGGCATTTGGATAGACACTAAATTGTGTGAGGCAGAATTTTATTCAAGAGCAATTATAACATTTTAAAAACTGCAGTATTTTGATAGTTCTGCACTAACACCATTCTTGTATGTGATCCAGTGAGGCCACCTGAAAAACAAGCAGGGACATTAAAGTTACTAACTGCTTGACTTTGTTTTTGTTGTTACCAAGGTCTTAGGGAAAGGTAGGAGACAGGTTCTAGAGACCAAATTTAAGCTTCTAGGTAAGAGATTAAAATTCAGAACCTCAATTCTCTGAACTAACACTCCCTAATGGCAGCCTTGCAACAACCAGGGGCTGAAACCTCATCTAAATGAGTTGAATACTTCCAGAAGACCTTTGAGTACCCCACAAGTATACATATCTATGATTGAGAACCATTGTTTTAGAGTAGCCTCTTTTATTAAATCCCCCCTATATTCCAGTAAAGCAGAGAGTCGTTGATAAAGTAGAGCCAGACCCAGAGTCCTGTTCAGTTACCTCACCTGAATGAAGACAAGTAAATACTGACACATTTTATAAGTGCTTGTATGCTAGAAGTCTAAAATGCTAAGATGGGTGAACTTCAGTGACTGGTACTAAAGGAGAAATCTCCGACAACAGGTATATCAGAAACTCAGTGAAACATTCTTACACAGGGTACAAAATTCAGAGGAATGACAAAATAGGTAGTGGTGTTGGGTAAGTGGCGCTACATGTGAAAGAAGGCATAATCAAATATAGTAAAAATCTTAAGATTAATCAAACAGTACCATAGAATCCCTGTGAACAGAAGTTCTTTGCTTGAATAAGAGTATAGTAGTAGGAACATATTACTGACCACGTGACCAGGTGGTGACAGTGAAATACTTAGGGAGAGTAGAGGCTACACAAACTGGTTATCAAGTCATGGAATTCAGAGAGAAAGTGTCTAGCCACCATTAATGACTGCTTCTTAGGGCAAATTTAACATCCTTGTAGGAGGGGAAATGCCAAGGAAACCCACCACAGCAGTGTTTAGCTTCAAAAAGGGGAATTACCCCAAACATGAGCTTGTTAAATAGAAAATCTCTACAGACTTTTCCTTTTAGACATGCCTGCAAGCTTTATGAAAACTACTTAACAAAACCAAAGCAGAGGCTTGAAGCAGGTCTACACTACTGCTTACATTGATCTAATGTACGTTGCCTCGAGGTGTGAAAAAGATGACACCGCCCCCCAAGGGTCACAAGTTAGTGACCCAAGTGCTGTCCATGCTACTATGTCAGCAGAAGATTCTCTGCCACTGACAGCCTGCACCTCTTGAAGAGGTGAAGTAATTCTGCTGAAGGGCGCGCATTCTCCTGTTGGCACGGAGAGTCTTCACCAGACCTGGTGCAATGGTGTTGATGTAGTGTTTTAAGCATAAAGTTGCCTTCAGACTGAATGGAGCTCTCAAATTAAAAACAAACCATTACAAGTAACCAGAAGGTACTCACCCAGGAGTTCTGCAGAAATTCAAATATGAAACCGCAGAACTACTAACTGTGTGTATCAGTGGTTCTCAAGCTTTTTAGTCCATGGACTACTTGGCTCAATGTAAACCTTTCCATGGACCACCAGCTGCTAATGGAAACTCACCGTTAATTACAAAGAATCATAGATCTGTAAGAGACCTCAGGAGTCATCCCAAAGCAGGACCAGTCCCAACTAAATCAACTCAGCCAGGGCTTTGTCAAGTCGAGACTTAAACCTCCAGGGATGGAGATTCCACCACCTCCCTCGGCATCCCATTCCAATACTTCACCACCCACCCTCCTAGTGAAATAGTTTTTCCTAGTATCCAACCTAGACCTCCCCCATAATTATGCCCGAGCCATTTTGCTATTACTGCAGCTAGGGAGACTAGTTTAGTTTAAATTATTAAACAGATGAAGTGTTTTAACTCTCATGTTATTCAAACTTGATTTTAAATAAAATATTAATTTATGTTCAACACAAAAGGTGACAATGTTTTCTTTATTTATGGAGGGGTGGGGAACCTTTTTTGGGTCAGGAGCCACTGACCCACAGAAAAATCAGTTGGGGACCACACAAGTGAGAAGCAAAAACACTCCTCCCAAAACTCCCAACCCTCACTGATGTGGCCCCCAACTGAGACACCTCCCTCCTCTGATGCACCAGCCCCATGGGGAAAGGGGAAGGGACATAGAATCATAGAGCTGTAAGAGACCTTAGGAGTCATCCCAAAGCAGGACCAGTCCCAACTAAATCAACTCAGCCAGGGCTTTGTCAAGTCGAGACTTAAACCTCCAGGGATGGAGATTCCACCACCTCCCTCGGCATCCCATTCCAATACTTCACCACCCACCCTCCTAGTGAAATAGTTTTTCCTAATATCCAACCTAGATCTCCCCCATAATTATGCCCGAGCCATTTTGCTATTACTGCAGCTAGGGAGACTAGTTTAGTTTAAATTATTAAACAGATGAAGTGTTTTAACTCTCATGTTATTCAAACTTGATTTTAAATAAAATATTAATTTATGTTCAACACAAAAGGTGACAATGTTTTCTTTATTTATGGAGGGGTGGGGAACCTTTTTTGGGTCAGGAGCCACTGACCCACAGAAAAATCAGTTGGGGACCACACAAGTGAGAAGCAAAAACACTCCTCCCAACCCTCACTGATGTGGCCCCCAACTGAGACACCTCCCTCCTCTGATGCACCAGCCCCATGGGGAAAGGGGAAGGGACATGAAGGACTGAGGTTCAGAGCTTCCCATAGGCTAGATCTACTTTTCTGGGGTTCCAGAGTTAGTGGATTTTATGGACCCCCCCCCAAGGCTCTGGGCTGGGGACAAAAATGTATGTGGGACAGGGCTGCCAGCGAATGGGATAGGGATGGAGGTGTGGTGCAGAAGGGAGAGAAGCTGCGCTGTCTGCGTGGGTGGTAGGATGCAAAGCAGGCTGGAAATAGAGTGTCTGGCCAGGAGGGAGGGTATTAAACAGATGAAGTGTTTTAACTCATGTCAAGTGTCTGGCCAGAAGGGAGTTGGGGCAGGGTGCAGGCGCAGGCTGGGGGCAGGGTTTCTGCCAGGGGGAGGGTGTCAAAGCAAGCTGGGGATGTGTGGTCTTGGCAAGGGAAAGGGGAGTGAGGGGGATTCGGGTGCAGGGGTCTGGGCATGTGTGGGGATGCTTACCTGGCTTTGTGCTTCCTTGCACTGGGAAAAGCCTCATGCATCACTGTGCTGCTGTTTATGCAAGAAGGTGGGAAGGCCAAAAGTGTAATTGGGTTCAATAAAACTAGATTAAGGATAGTTCCATCAATGGCCATTAGGTAAGATGGTCAAGGTTAGTGAATTTTATGGACCCCCCCCCAAGGCTCTGGGCTGGGGACAAAAATGTATGTGGGACAGGGCTGCCAGCGAATGGGATAGGGATGGAGGTGTGGTGCAGAAGGGGGAGAAGCTGCGCTGTCTGTGTGGGAGGTAGGGTGCAAAGCAGGCTGGAAGTAGAGTGTCTGGCCAGGAGGGAGGGTGCAGGAATGGACTGAGGATAGGGTGTCTGGCCAGAAGGGAGTTGGGGCAGGGTGCAGGCGCAGGCTGGGGGCAGGGTTTCTGCCAGGGGGAGGGTGTCAAAGCAAGCTGGGGATGTGTGGTCTTGGCAAGGGAAAGGGGAGTGAGGGGGATTCGGGTGCAGGGGTCTGGGCATGTGTGGGGATGCTTACCTGGCTTTGTGCCTCCTTGCACTGGGAAAAGCCTCAGGCATCACTGTGCTGCTGTTTATGCAACAAGGTGGGAAGGCCAGAAGTGTAATTGGGTTCAATAAAACTAGATTAAGGATAGTTCCATCAACGGCCATTAGGTAAGATGGTCAAGGTATTAAACCGGAACACGGGCCGCAATTGGCCCGCGGGCCGGACTTTGGACATGCCTGCCTTAACCTGTAAACTTAGTCTAGACAACAGATGGATCCGTTGATAAATTGCCCTGTTCTATTCCTTTGCTCTGAAACATCTGATACTGGTCACTGACAAAAGGCAGGATACTGGTCTGACCTAGAACAAAAAACAGGACTATGTAGCACTTTAAAGACTCACAAGATGGTTTATTAGGTGATAAGCTTTCGTGGGCCAGACACACTAGGTTAGTGGTTTATTAGGTGATAAGCTTTCATGGGCCAGACCCACTAGGTTAGTGTGTGTGTGAGAGTGAGAGTGTGTGTGTGTGTGTGTGTGCGTGCGCACACACACACAAACAAGAAATTAACCCTATAATCAATAAAGCATCACCCACATTTAAAGTTGGAGGCTAACAATTTTTAAAAAGTTGTTGCAAAAATTGGGCAGTAATCCATTTGATGAGGTGGTGTAGCTACCCACAGTTTGTGCATCATGAGAAAAAATCTTCCATGTCTGAGGTGCTTCTTTCTAAATCTCAATCACACTAAACTATTTTCAGTCAAAAGGAATAAAGTCCTTGCAATGGGAAACCAATTTAAAAAAATCATTTAAAGCAATAGGTTTCGTAAAAGATATACTTTTCAAAAAGGGCTGGACTTTTCTCTATGTAAACTTGAATAGCTCTTACACTAGCTTTTAATCTTGTTATTTAACCATATTATTTTAAAGAACCTCAGTGGGAGACCTCATGCCTTAAGGTGAAGACTTTTTTTTTTTAAGTGGAAGTTTAAAGGAACAAAAGACAGGACTATGCAGCACTTAAAAGGGACTCTGAAGCTTAGCCTGACAAGAAGGCTTGAAGCTAGATGTCTCTGCAGATGGGGGAGAATGCATTGCTACCTTCAGATATTCATTGCTAGCTAACAGAGATGCAGCCATGTTAGTCCGGTCTAGCTGAAACAAAAGACAGGACTATGTAGCACTTTAAAGACTAACAAGATGGTTTATTAGGTGATGAGCTTTCGTGGGCCAGACCCTCACCCCTATGTCATTACCTCACAGACACTAACCTTCCCTCCTCACCCCCACTCTGTTCTAAAATTTGATTTGTCAATTTCATGTGTGTTCATTTTTTTTATTGTATCAATTTGGTATATGTGGTTGTGCCAATATTCTTCCACAAATTAATCTGAGGGGCTGTGTCTACACTGGCAAGCTTTTCCGGAAAATCATCTGATTTTCTGGAAAAACATACCAGCTGTCTACACTGGCTGCTTGAATTTCCGGAAAAGCACTGACGATCTCATGTAAAATCACCAGTGCTTTTCCGGAAAAACTATGCTGCTCCCCTTCAGGCAAAAGTCTTTTTCCGAAAGACTTTTGCGCAAAAGGGCCAGTGTAGACAGCATAGTACTGTTTTCCGCAAAAAAGCCCTGATTGTGAAAATGGTGATCAGGGCTTTTTTGTGGAAAACCGCGTCTAGATTGGCCACGGACGCTTTTCCGCAAAAAGTGCTTTTGCGGAAAAG